AGAAATTTTGTTTTCTTGATGGGGCTTTATTGCTTGTTCTAATACAGAAACAGAGGTGGTAGAGAGACTTGAATGGGTGTTCTTGCAAACATATGAGAAAGGAAAAAGATTCACAAGAGACCTTCACAGCAACAGTATGGAATTACACCATAAACTGTTATGTCTCTATATGAGAAAAATAAATGATATTCTCTGGATCCCATGGGAAATGGGGAGCTGTCTGCCTTGGCTTGGTGCATCCTTTTGGGTCTTCCCTTCAGCTGTCCAGCCCTACTCACTGCGGAACTTCTAACCTTTGTAGGACGAGTGGTCCTCTCTCTCCAGCTACCCCCAATATTCCAAGGTGAGAATCTCACAACTTCTGCTGACCCCCACATCAAGGACAGGCATCCCTAGAGCTGAGATTCTTCTAGCCTTGTCTTGGATGACTGACAGAATTTTCCTGTCTGTGTGCGCTCTCAGTTTTCAGTTTCTTTCAATTCCACCCTGCTATCCATCAGACATTTATAAAGAACATTTGGTACTACCACCCAACACTCAAGTGATAATACACATCAACTGGGGAGCTCACGAACCTTCAGTGGCTTCACATTGCCAGGCATGTTAAACATTCAATATGCCCCATAATGGAACTTTGATTAAAAAAAAAAAAAATCAGTCGGATGCATTTCGGTCTTCAGCATACTTTCCGCACATGAAATGTTGCTGTTCTTTAAACAAATCATTTTATTTTCCACGTGAATAACTTCTATAGTATTTTACTTCCTGGAGGGTGTAATATTTTGCTTTTTGCATGTTTTCAAAAGAGAAGCTACATCTGCATTGGTGGTATGGCGGTGAGCATATCTGCCTTCCAAGAGAGAAGCCACTTACCGAGCCAGACCTCAAATTACCTCAACCAGTGTTTAGTGTTTGGGGCAGTTTCTCATGTATCCTAGGCTGGTCTTGAACATGCTGTGTAGCCAAGGCTGCCCAGTGGCACAGCATTCTTAGTGAGACCCCTAAGAGCACATGCATCTTGAGGGTGGCAGTGATAGGACAGTTCATACAAAAACCAGCAGAAATTTACCTTACTAGCCTATGATCGATCAAGTCTTCCTTCTTATATTCTATGGGGAGAAAAATTTATAGGTGTGAAGCAAGTAAGTAAATCAAAAAACCCAGGATCATCTCAAGCTCTGAATGGGTACTGAGGGAAGTTTTCCTCTGGTGGTGGTATTTGAGATGGGACCTCAGTTAATGATAAGAGCCAAGGACAAGAAACTCAAAGAAAGAGCGATTACAAATGTTACTGAGCTTCATAATAGCCAGAAACTGGAAACAACACAAATGTCCTTCAACTGAAGAGTGAATAAAGAAACTGTGGTACATCTACACAATGGAATACTATTCAGCTATTAAAAGCAATGAGGTCATGAAATTTGCAGTCAAATGGATGGAACGGGAAAAGATCATCCTGAGTGAGGCAACCCAGATCAGAAACAAACATGGTATATACTCACTTATAAGCTGATTTCAGGTATATAATACAGGATAACTATACTACAATCCACAGACCTAATGAAGCTAAACAGCAAGGAGTACTCTAGGGAGGGTACTTAATTCTCATTCAGAAGGACAAACAGAATAGACACCAGACATGTTTGGAGAAAGGGAACAGGATGGGAGCCTTCCATAGATGTCCTCTGAAAAACTCCACCCAGTAGAGGATCAAAGCAAAAGCTGAGACACACAGCCAAACTTTGGGCAGAGTACCAGAAGTTTTATGGAAGAGTAGAGGGGACTGAAGGATGCAGAGAGAACAGGAGTTCCACAAGGAGACCAACAGAGCAAAGACTGATGTACCACCTAAGGACCATGCATGAAGAGGACCCAGGCCCCCTGCTCAAATATAGCTGATAGGCAGCTCAGTCTCCATGTGGGTCACCTAGTATGGGGAGCAGGGACTCTCTCTGACACAAACTGTGTGTCTGCTCTGTGACCAATTCCCCCAGGTGAGGTGGCCTTGCCAGGCCACAGGGGAAGAGGATGCAGGCAGTTCTAAAGAGACATGATAGTCCTCACTCAGTTGGTTATGGAGGAGGCAGAAAGAGGGAGGAAGGGTGGGGGGCGAGAGGAGATAAGGGAGGAGGATTTGATCAAGATGTAAAATGAATAAATTAATAATTAAAAACAAAAAATGTCATTGAACTATGCCTGGAGGAGGTGTGGAGGTCTGGAAACACTGGGAAAGCTGTGGTTGGAAGGTGCTGGGCAGACAGCTGTGAGGGGTGAGGTAGCAGAGGCTAACCTTGAAGGTCCAAAGGGGCCAAGCACAGCAGTGAGTATTTCACACAAAAGCCTTAAACCGAGAGTAACTTGATCTAATTTACAAAGGAAAATGATAGCTCTTGCTGCTTGGCAGAAACTGGATCAAGGTTGAGAGTGGAAACAAGATGAATTGGAAGACTACATGAGGTAGAAGTAGCCTGAATTTGGCACAGGGAGGCTGAGAGGGAGAAGAAGTGGACCCATCTATAGTCCTCCTCACAGTAAGCTTTGAATATGGCAGTGGGTAATTTATGTATGATGTATGTTCAGGACTTCAAAACCGGTTCTACATACTTAGCTTCTACTCCACCATTTTTTTTCCTGCTTTGATTCACATATTGTGGCTTGCTGTACTGATCTGATATTTGGAGAAACAAAGCAAGGAGGGGACCTCTTATTGAGAAAACACAGTTGATACTATTATGTAAAGAACATAGGGAAGGGTCAGAGTGGAAATTATGCAACTAAATGATTCATTTAAAACAACTGGAACAAGATAGGATTCTAAATCTGTGATAAAATGAAATGGGCAGAGCATTCAAATACAGAGAACCATATTATTTAAACAAAATAATAATCATCATGAATTTGAGCCCAACATACTGTAAAATAAGTAAGTAAGTAAATAAGCAAATACTGAGACTTCAATAAATATTAGCTGGAATACTATGCCTACACTGAAGACATGGCAATTGATTTTCATTACAATTGAATCACTTCTTCAATTTTAATTCTTCAATTACTTCTTCAATTTTAACTTACTTTTCTCTCAAAGTATGGTCTCTCCCTTTGCTCCTTTTTATATGAAAAATTTCTTGATTAGTAAGCTAATATTGTCTGACTAGAAAGGAATGATTACACAATCCTAGAATTCTTCGTATATATGACCTGTTTTGATTTTAGGGTAGGTCCCTGAGAGGAGATGAAGTAAGCACAGGTTCCCAGTGTCTTTGCAATCACCATGCACAAGGAATTCCATCAAAACTCATTCAATAAAAAGTAGAATCCAAGAGAAAACAAGACCAGTTCTTGCCACTTTCCACCCAAAACACTAAGTGGTCCCCAAATTGTGTGAAACCTGGCCCTAGTGAGTGTGAAAACTGGCTGAAATCTGTCTGAAAGGAAGGCTATCGGGTTTGTCGAAATAGTTCATGAACTTTGGCCAAACTTTCTCTGCTCCTGGTCCAAGTCTTACTTTGTAATGCAACGGGAGACCACGTGGATTTCAGATGGTGTCAGGTTTCACCTTGGAAATTTGGCCTAGCTTTCTAATCAATCATCACTTTTAGCAACGATGAAAGCCAACACACCTTTCTGGGAACGAAGACTGAGTACTAACCGATGACAGCAAGGCTGTGAACCGCCCCCGCGCTTCTTCTGCCAAAAGAATGCTTCTTAGAAAGGGGACCTTCCCTCTTACCTGGAGAGGCCAAGCTGAGGGACCGGGATACTGGGTGTAGAAAGACACTCAACGCAGGGAGACAACGCCATGGGAAACATCACTACCCATACATCAAGGTTCTCATCTCATCATCTAATGCTGCAAGTTCCATTCCATTCCCACCCAGGACAGTCTTGGTCTCCTGGACTACTGATGAGCTTCTAGCTGGGAGGCAGTCATCAACTAGGGTAACCGTGATGAGAAGCCTGCCTGCTCTGAGGCACCATTATTTCAACCCGAAGTAGCTGAGGAATAGGAAGCAAATCCAAGTACAGCCTCTAGCTGGCTTTAAAGAGCATGAGGTACAAAGACGGCACAAAACTTTCCCATCTGCATCAGCTATGCATTTTGAAAAATAAAAAAAAAAACCTTTCTGTGGTATTCATAAATTAAATAATTTATGAATTAACCAAATGCAGTATATCTTGCAGAAAGACCTCCATAGTTTCTGCTTTCAACCTGAACATTTTAAATGTGTGTTTCCACTGTAAAAAAAAAAAAAAAAAAAAAAAAAAAAAAAAAACTCTCTTCAACAAAATACTCGCTTTTGTGCGTAGTGACATGAGAAAATTGAGAGGTATGTCTGAACAGAGCCACTACATCATTGGAACAGTATGTCTGAACATTTGAGTAATGAGGCACAGATGCGAAGCAGAGGACTTGGCACTACCAAGGCAACAACAAAGCATTCGCCATTGGTTATGATGGTCGAAGGGGCCATATCTGAGCAGAGAAGAAACGGCCCTCCTCCCACAGTGCTAAATTGTGTTACACCTTTTATCTGCCTTACAAATCTGGAAAAAAAAAACCGAGAAATCCAAACAAACGTTATTGAAACTTACGAGGCAGAGCAAAGATGTGAGATGCATTAATATTTTTATCTATCCTCGAACATACTTATGCAATAGCACGTGAAGTTTTATCGGAGGGAAATGCCAAATTCCACAGAACATCGCGTGGAGCAAAACAAAACAACGTGCACACATCTAAAGAACCCAACAGTCACTGGAAAGGTGGCTGTTGGGTAGCTTCAGTAGGTTCATTAGTTGAAGAACGTTCTATTCAGAATCATGAAGCTACAAAAATGCACAAGATACACATATTTGTTAGTAAGCTATTTTTTGCTTATGGGTGGTTTGTCAATTTTGTCAGCTATTACTAAATCATGCAGCACAAGTGGTGATGATACTCAGTACATTTTGATCTGGAAAATCATCTCCCACGCAGGACAAAAAAGTGCGTGACTTACCCGAGGCCCCTGGTCACCTTGTTCTCCCTGTAGAAGAACAAAGTAAGATGAGAGCTTTATCTACAGTCCATATGTGACGCTTATTAAAAAGGTCCAAACACACACCACAGATGTGCCAATACGGATTTCCAGTAACTTAATTAATTTTATTAATGAATTTTCTTACCTTATCACCTTTTGGACCCGGGGGTCCCTGAAAAACAAGAGAAGAAAGAAAATATTAGCTTTAAAAAAAGATCCTGGATAAATCTACCAGGTCAACTGAAAGACTTATGTGAAATGTAGGTAGCCATAGCTGTCCACAGGTTTCTCAAAGAACTTTGTTTTCTAAATTATAACTAATATAATTAGAGTAAGATACTAGTAGGTGTATGCGTGTACAAATATACATGTATACATGTATGCGTATATATTTATATATATTCATACATGTATATCATATCCATCAGATGTGCTAGAGAGATTGTCACCAACAATATACCAGAGCTAGTGAAGCAACACACTGCTAGCAAGGCCAGGAGTTCCTGCTGTGACCTGCGCTTGTCAACAGCCGACACCAATAGCCACTCTTCTGTTTCTGACTGTAGAATTTGCCTGCCTCTGTTCTTTTTTTTATTAATCTTTATTTTTATATTAATCATAGGTTATTAACTTTGTATTCCAGCCCTCACCCCCTCCCTCCCTCATCTCCTCCCTGACCCTTTCCAAGTCCACTGCTAGGGGATGTAGCCCATGGTAGCTCAGTATCCAAGTGGGTTTCCCTAGTAAGGGGAACAGGAACTATTTCTGACATGAACTCAATGACTGGTTCCTTTACCTCCCCCCACTCCAAGGGAGAAACAGCCTTGCTAGGCCACAGAGGAGGACATGGCAGCCAATCCTGTTCTTTACCTAGAACAAACCTTACAGCATACATCTAGCATGTTTGTTCAATACTTGTGAAGTTTATGTGTGTGTAACTTCAGACTTGTTCTTCCTAGTTCATAAAACTCTGTATATGACTTATTTGCTCATCCTGCTGTTGACAGATACTTGATTCCAGGAATTCCTAGAGACTTGGCTTTTGTAAACTGCTACCATGAACACCTTACTGTAAGTGTTTTGATGAAACATCATCTGCATTTCTTCTGGGTGTGTGTCTAAGTAAGGTAAGAGAGATCATTCGTTTTCACTTCAACAGATACTCCCGAGTGGTTTTCCAATATGGCACCTATAGTTTGTAAGCTCAGCTTCAGTATTTCCACATCATCTCTAATGCTTGATATTTTCTCTCTCTCTCTTTTTTTAAATCTTACTTGCTCTTGTAGGGTACAGTAATTTAACTTTTTTAATTTTATAGTTACCTAGTGAAAAACTGAATGTCCTTTAAACATGCCTATTCAATGTTTTACATTCTTTTCATAAAGAATTATCAGCTTTTGCCTTTGTTTCACTAAATCATCCTACTGATCTTTTAGAATTTATTATATATGCCACATCTCTACATATATAGAAATCTTTACGTATTCTGAAGGCGGGAATTTTTTGCTTTATTTATTAGAAATATATTTTTCCATTCTATGTTCTGCTTTTATATTCTGTTGAGGTGTTCTTTGGTGTTGCTTTTTTTTTTTTTTGGTGGTGGTGGTGGTGCTGAGGCTTGAACTCAGGGCCTTGAGAATCTATACAAATGCTTTACTACTGAGCTATGTCCACAGCCCCTATTGAGGCATTGTCAATGAACACATATTGTTAATTTTAATAAAAATCAATATAACATTTTGTCCTTATTGTTATGGCTGTAGTCAAATTAAGATATCTTTAACTATTCTATATCAGAAAGAGATCCTTCTGTTTATTCCAGAAGTGAAAAGGCGTATTATTGCGTCTTTCATATTTGAGTGTGAATTCATTGAGAACCGTTTTATGGGAGGCGAAAGTCAGGATTTTTTTTTGTCCCCAGGTGGTTATCAAGTTAACTGAACACTGTTAACTGAAAATGGCATCTTTTCCCCACTGTGGTACTCTGTTACCTTTCTCATAAATCAGGGGACCACATGTGTACATAACGTTTCCTTGTAGGAATTTCTCATTGTTTTGAGCCTGTCTATTCTTCTACTAAGAAAAACTATTTCTAGAGGCATCAATTATGCTGTCTATTCTAATTCTTCATAACAAAGTCATATTTTGTGGTTCAGCACAGCCCAAGGTATTGGAATGTCTCATAATTATCTCCTCAATCTCCATTTATAGTGGACCAGGACATAAGGACAAGGCCAGGCAGGAAGTAAGGCAAGAGACTATCAGAAGGGCACTATGTCACAGCAGGCAGAGCACAGAACCTCTGCCCTGACAAAAATGTCACTTTCTGCTAAGGGTCAGCTACAGAGGAATGCCACTGAATCCCCTTCTCTTCACAGTTACCCTTGTGTTCCACTTCAGAAATCTCTAGCAGTCCCATATCACAGAGACAGTCTTGTGTTTACTCTAAAGCAACAGCTTTATCATTGTCTGTTTCATATTAGCATCCCAGTTCACCGGAGCTGATATTATATACCGTGTGGCTGTCTTTGTTGTTTAGGTAGCATGCCTTTTCAGTAAGACCTGTGAAGTTATCCCAAAAGCAATAACAGCACCGTGTCTCCCATTTTGCATATTTTCTCATCAGCAAGGAACTGTGAGTTGTTGTTACATTTAATCTTCCCCCAAATGCAGTGAAGCATAATGATAATCCTTTTAGAGATGCCAAAAAATGAAACTCAGATCTTTTCAGTGTGAGGCCTCTTGGAAATGAGCTGTCCAGGATTTTAATTCATTCGGCATGACTTCAAATACCAAGACCATGTAGCACAGACACGGAACTTGATTCTCAGAATAACCCGTGTGTGTCTGGTGTCTGCCCTCAACATGCAACTTTTGAAATGGCTCTGGTTGCATATCACTGTCATAGACACTAGCCCTAAAGTTGTGGGTTTTAAATGGCAGGGAGGAGAGGGAAAGGAGAGCATTTGCCTGCAAATTTCATGATTTCCTTGTTTTAATTGCTGAGTAGTATTCCATTGTGTAAATGTACCATAATTTCTGTATCCATTCCTCAGTTGAGGGACAGCTGGATTGTTTCCAGATTCTGGCTATTATGAAGAAAGCTGCTATGAACATGGTTGAACAAATGTCCTTGTTGTATACTTGAGTATCTTTTGGATATATGCTTAGGAGTGGTATAGATGGATCTTGAGGTAGCGCTATTCCTAATCTTCTGAGAAAGTGCCAGATTGATTTCCAAAGTGCTTGTACAAGTTTACATTCCCACCAGCAATGGAGGAGGGTTCTGCTTTCTCCACATCCTCTCCAAAAAGATCATCCTAGGTGAGGTATCCCAGAAGTAGAAAGAGTCACGTGGTACATACTCACTTATAAGTGGATAGTAGACATACAATACAGGATAGACATATTAAAATTTGTACATTTAAAGAAGCTAAGTAAGCAGGACCCTAGGTAAGGTGATCAATCCTCAGTCAGAAAGGCAAATAGGGTAGACATCAGAAGAGGGAGAAAACAGGGAACAGGACAGGAGGGCCTCTGAAAGACTCTATCCAGCAGGGTATAGAAGCAGATCCTGAGATTCATAACCAAACTTTGGGGCAGAGTGCCCAAAGATAGAAGGGGGAGATGAAAGACCTGGAGGGGACAGGAGCTCCACAAGGAGAGCAACAGAACCAAAAATCTGGGCCCAGGGGTCTTTTCTGAAACTGATATACCAATCAAGGACCATGCATAGAGGTAACCTAGAACCCTTGCTCAGATGTAGCCCATGGCAGCTCAGTCTCCAAGTGGTTTGCCTAGTAAGGGGAGCAAGGGCTGTCTCTGACACAAAATCAGTGGCTGGCCCTTTGATCACCTCTGAGGGGAAAGCAGCCTTACCAGGCCACAGAGAAAGACAATACAGACAGTCCTGATGAGGCCTAATAGGCTAGGGTCAGTGGGAAGGGAAGGAGGACCTCTTCTATCAGTGGATTAGGGGAGAAGCATAGAGGGGAAGAGGAAGGAGGGGTGAGATTAGGAGGGGACCAGAGAGGGGGGCTACAGAGGGGATACAAAGTGAATAAATTGTAATAAATTTTTAAAAAGGAGAGCAGGTAGCAGGAACTAGGGCTAAGACAATACAATCATCTTCATGAAATCCTTTATAATTTTGTCAGTAATTAGAGGAAGCTGAGAGAATTATATTTTAATGTTTTCAGTAAATATTTAATGTGCCCTTTAAAAAATACAGATAGTAATGTTGTAAAGGTTTGGTATTATTTTTCATAGAGCACAGGGGAGCCTAGGGAAAGAGAAATGAGAGGAACTTACTATAAAAAGTTCAAGCAAAGCAGTGGAGAGTCCAGTTCTGATTGAAGTAGTGAATTAAGAAGCTTTATTTCGATATTTATATATTTGCTGAATGTCTATTTAAAGTTTATCATTGTTCTAACCCATGGCTAAAGATATGGTACAAAAGACCAACTTGGAAAAATGTAATACTTATCTCTAACAAAGCTAAATCATGTATTTCTAAAGTGAAGCACTTTCCTAAAGTTAAGTTAGAATGACTCCTAGAAAACCCAGGGACCTTCAAGTCAGCTCTTACTGTGGACCCTTCCCCAGCCTCTTCCATTGCTTCTCAAAGGTTCCCCTCTTTCCAACTCTGTGTGGGTTTCTAGTGAGATCTCAGAGGCTGGGATCTAAAGGGGCTTTGTTCGGGTTTATGACATAATTGAAAACCCTTTACAACGAGGAAAAGAAATCAGTCTTCTGAAGTCCAAGGGCCAATGTCAAATCCACACATGTTGACTAGCACCATTGGTGGTAACTAAAAGATGAGCAGCAATTCCAACCAATGGCAGATGTGGGTGCTGTACGTGGGTCCTCCGCGAGAGCAGCCAATGAGTTTAACCGTGGAGCTATCTCTTCAAACACTAGCTTGAGAGTATTTGTAAGTATCATTTTGCTGCTGCAACTATACTACCTTTAGCAAACAAATATTTAGTACTGTATCGATGGTTATTTGTAACTAATCAAAAGTCACCTTTATTGCTAAAAGAAAGCTGAAGTCAGTGGAAGAAAAATGTGCGGGATTAGCTGTGGGCCACAGCTTTGTGTAAGGCTTTTGAGGGTGTGTTTGTCACCAGTATGGAATGTTGCATAAGGCTTACTTTTATAAAGAAGTAAGAA